TCTTTTAGTTTTAGATTTTAAACTTAAATAATTATTTTACAGGGGTTTGATAGGTTTTAAAATTATTCCATAGATTTAAAAATATTTATTAACTGTTAGAGGTATTTAAAGTATTTAAGAGTGATTTCGAGGAAACATTTTAAAAATTGGTGAGGGCAAATAAAAAAAAAAAGAATAATATCAAAACGTATTCTACTTGATTCAATAAAAAAGTACAGTTATTAAAATTTTTGTAAAAAGTAACTTAAAAAAATTACTTAAATAATAACGATCGCTTTTATGTTAAAAGTTACCGAAACTCATCGAAGCGAGCTTAAGAACAGCTGCTGAAAAATAGAACGTCGATAGTTTTTCGAATAATTTTTAAGAATAATTTTTAAGAATAATTTTTTCGCTGAAATATTTCTTTTATACCTATAAGATTTTTATTCTAACATTTTATTTTATTTTAATAGAAATAAAATTCCTTGTTAACAATAAAAATCTATTCAAAACGTTCGTTTAAGTTTTTTATTAATACGAGTGATTGTGCTTATCAACCGCTTTATGAAAATAAATAAAAATAAATAAATATTATATAAAATCGCTTGTAAAAATATTAGCTATTGCACAGTTTTTAATCGTACAATATTAAAATTTCCAGTTTATTACTCGCTGACTTTTTAAAAAGAAAAAATAATTATTTGAAAAACTTTAAATTACATATTTAAGAAAAAAAAAAATCAAATATTAGCATATTTTATAATCTTTTTTAAATTTAAGTTATAATGTTTTTTATTCGTTTAGTATAGACAAAACGTGACAAACGTCGAGAAAATAAACAAATGTTTTTACATTTTAAAAAACGAAACATTCCAAAACATTTTTAAATAATAACATTTCTACATAAACGATTTAAAGTAGTTTTGCGGTAATTAAATAAATTGGTGCAGTTAATGTCGATAAATATGAAAAGCAAATAAAAAGAATTTAATGACGTCAAAAATCGCGTCGTGCTTATGCGTCGCGCAGTTCTTATTCATCGCAAGGCCTGCATACTATAAGTCAAAGTTGTTTTGTAGTCCCTCTAGGTAATTACTAAAAGTCAGCATTGTTTCAACTGGCAATATCTCTGAAACCCATGTGTATTTTAATTAAAATTTTTGCAGTTTTTATTTTTTTAATATGGACTGCAGGTGAGGTAAAAATGAACAAATTCTGAGACCTAAGGATGTCATGGTCTGGATGATTTCATATGGAATGGCCCTACAAACAAATTCAAGGGATTGATTATTTACACACTTTTTCACCTAGAGATAAGACTGAGTTTTAATTAAACTCAAAGCTACAGACTTCATTTTATATTAAATTGATGTTAAAAGTGCTTATCTACATGCAGCAGTTGAAGTAATAAAAATATTGATTACATACTACACCATATTTATGTGTTGTATATAGTTAATATTTTTATTGTTTGCCTTGAGACTGTTTTATATATAGTAATATTTACAAACATTGTTATCGAGAAATATTTTCTTCCATCATGATGGAATACAGAACATTAACAGTTAATACTGAGAAAAAATTAGCTTGACCATACAACATAGTATATCCTTGCCAGTATATCCTTGAAATATGTTACTAAAACGAATTAAAGGTTAGGTAGTAAAAAATTTAAAAAAATTTTATTGAATATTATTCAATTTTTTATTTGGAAGTTTTTATTATTGAAAAATTATTATTAAAAAACGGTTTAATAATTAAATGATAAACTAATATTGAAAAATGTGAAAAAAAAAGACCATCCTAATACCATCAAAATAAAAGCTAGCGTGTTTATTAATAACACACAGTTTTAATATAAGCAAAGGGGAAGAATAGATGCAATATTTATAGCAAGTTCAAGATTTTTGGAAAAAAGATAGCATTTATTGATCTTTAAAAGGTTTTTGAGCGAGTACCAAAAGTTTGCTAAGGGTAGTTCTACAGAGATCACTTATACCTAAGGATTTCTAGCATCATTGAAGTCATCATTAAATTCGGGCATCATTGATGTTTTTGCTATAGATTTTTTTGAATTAAAACATTAAGTTTCTGTTGACTTTTTTTAGGCGTAGAAAACATTTTGATTTTCCTCATGGCTTCTACTAAAAGTTTTAAAGTTTGTTTTGATACAAACCTAATTCAAACTTTTTGATTATAAAATGACAAAATTTTACTGACTTTTGTTAAAAAATTTACTGCTAATATAAATTTTAGTGATTTAGATATAAAAAAACAAACTAAAAATGTTTTTTAGGAAATAAAGATTTTTTAATGTTAATACACCTCCCCAAGGCCGAGAAGGCCACTACAGACGAGCATGCTACTTAAATGTGGTTATAACCCTCTCTCAACTCTATTAGTCCAAAACACAAACCTTGATGAACAAGGCTGCTCCATGGAGAAACAAGTTGAGTGCGGTACTACCAGGGACATGGTGGGGATCAAACTCGGAACCTCTCGCTTATTAAGCGAGTGCTCTACCACTATGCCACTACCGCATATATATAGAATTTCTACATTTGTTATGACCGATGAAATTTTCAAGACTGGCTTCAAAAATAAGTTAAAATGTTTATTTCTTTTACATGTTTGTGAGTATTACAGAGTGTTTACTTTTTTTTTGTTAATCATATTTAGTGCTGTAAAAATGTTAAGATATATAATTGTGTTATTTGGTTAATAAGTGCATTTAAGACAATATTGAAAAGTATTTTTTTATTGAGTAGTAATTTTTAAGTAGGTGATTTAATTTTTTACATTTTCGGTATCCATTTTTGGTGATAGGCTTTTATCTGCAACCTGCAATTTTTTAGCAAACAGATGTTACATTTACACCTCTCCAAACATATATCTCATATGAAATTGTAACTGTTTCTTCTTACAGCAAAGTTATCAACCAGTTCTCAAAGTTTATGCTGAGTTGTAAAGTATCTATAGTATATAAAGTGTCAAAGTATCTTGACTTGACATATGTCATTATGTTGGTTCTGACTCTGAGTAGTGTCAGTTAGGATATTATTACTGACAATATTTAGTTATTGACATTTCTATATTGCGATTTCAAGGAAGTTTTTACGACTCTGTATAATCAACTCAAATATTGCTTTGCACAGAGACTATTCTTTTCTAAATCTATACATTTGTCTTTTTAATTTGCCCTTTGTTTTTAAATTTTACTTACTTGGTTTTCATTAATTTATAGTTAATGTTGCTGCTATAGTTTCAGTTTCTAATTCTAGTCAGTCAATTTATTTTCAATGTGTTAATGTTAATGTTGCTATCCTGTTTTAGGCAACAAATCAGCTTTTTTTTCATCAAAAATGTTACCTACCTCTGAGAATAATATCAGTTAAAATGTTACTTAAATTTTAGATAATTTAAATGTATAGGTTGCCTAATACTGTAAATATTTCAATTTTAACCTAAATGAAAAAATAGAAAACAAAGTAATAATTTTATATATAAATATTATGCAGGTTATAAATTTCAATAAAAAAAAATAGAAGAAACAAATAAAAACAACATAGGGGTCGTCCATAAAGAAAATCGCGCTAAATTTAACTAATGGCATGAAGTTGGAGAATGTTGGCTCTCGTGTGCAGAGATTTTAAAGTAATATAGTGCCTTATGTTCAATAAAAGTTTCAGTGGAAGGGAGCCATTAAATTTATTTATATATATTATATATATATATATATATATATATATATATATATATATATATATATATATATATATATATATATATATATATGTATATATATATATATATATATATATATATATATATACATATATATATATATATATATATATATACATATATATATATATATATATATATATATATATATATATATATATATATATATATATTATAGATTATAAATATATATTATGTAGCCACGATGCAGAGGATCAGGCTTTCACTTTCAATTTTAAAGGTAAAAAATTTTATAAAAATAATTCTGGTTCCGGCCGGAATTCAAAATTTTTAATCCTATACACCCCTAAATAAAACTTTAGTTAGATATACATTTAAATAAAATATTTAAAAAAGAAAAGAAATGGTATCCTTTTTCATATTCTATTCAAGATTACTTGTTAAAATAATTTTTAGGTAAAAGCTTATTATATGTTAACAGCATAAGATATAAATAGAAACATTTGTATGGCTAACTTTTGCAAGTCTCTGAGTAAGTTAATGTTATATTTTAACTGGTTGTTTTAATTTAGTTTATAGCTAAATTAACTGTGATGTAAATTTACCTGAATGGAGTATTTATTGGAGAATTGAATAAAGAAAATTTTCTCATTAAATTCATTAAATCAAACTAAATATAACTTTGAAATATTTAGTTATATTGAAATTTATAAATATATAAACATTTATATTGAAATATTGCAGACCTCGTAGACATTCAAAGTAATTTGAATTCAAATGCGCTTTATCTTGAATGAAAATTTCCGTGCAAGGGAGCAAATGATCTTCTACATACTTCTATTCAAAAGATAAATTTAGCGTGACATACTTTTATGACCCCTGATTAAAAACTTACACTAAAACATTATTTTTAAGAATAGCCACAAAAAAGCTAAATTAGAAAAAAAATTAACAAACAAAAAAAATTAATATTTGCAAAAAAAATTTTAATTAAGAAAAAACTAATTGCAAAGGTGTGAAAAGCAAAAGCGATTTTCAATCACAATACGCTTAGTTTAAGCCCTAGTTATGTATTAGAGAAATGTTGAATTAACTATATATGTTTTTTTGTTTTTCAATTATTGGAAAACGTATGCATTTGGGAAGACAGGGGGTGATTTTGAAATAAATAATGTGTACATACGCAGAGGAAGATGGAGTCGTTGTGAGCTTAATGATAAATTCATTAGTTTTCTGCATAAATACTTTATGGATGTCACTTAATTTAAAAATAAATATTGCATTGTTGTTAAAATAAGATTTTTATTGTTTAGATGGTCATCTGAAAACAAAAGCGAAGATCAAACGGTTAATTTGTATTTTCTAATTATTTCTGATGATAATTATGATGATAATGTTGATGATGATGATGATGATGATGATGATGATGATGATGATGATGATGATGATGATGATGATGATGATGATGATGATGATGATGATGATGATGATGATGATGATGATGATGATGATGATGATGATGATGATGATGATGATGATGATGATGATGATGATGATGATGAAGTGATCCTGATCCTGATGATGATAATAATAGAAATTATAATGATACAACTTGAATTAATGTGAAATTTTATTTAAAGTTAAATTAAAGAAATTTTTACTTTTCTCAACAAAAAAAAAAATGCAAAATTAAATACAAAATTATTTTTACTTCAATTACTTAGATTCTCAGTTTCTCCCTAACTTTTAACTAATAATTGATACAGTAAAGTTCACATCATATAATTTTAATATATATAATATAAACTGTAAGTAAACTAATTAAGATATGCAAAAAACAACTAAAAAAAATATATAATTTTATGTTCCGATTTATAATCATTCAAATAAGTTTTATAAATAGTAAAGTTCATGCTTAGTTATAAAATGTCTAAAGTGAAAAATAAAAATTAACAGACATTAACGCCACTTGGCACTTAATGCTGCCAAGTAACGCCACAGTTTATAAATATTGCTTTACACATTGCTAGTTAACACCACTTTTATAACAGAATAGAATAATATAATCATATTAACTATATAAAAATTGTGTAACACATATAAACATACTTATTAAAAACTACAAGTTAAGAACATTTGGAAATAAAACATTGGCGTAAAATTTGTTAAATAACATACCTTGTATCTTCTGCAATGCAAGTGTTAACAAATGATCTTTTTTTAAATGATGTTGAATGTTTTTAAGCACACATATTTTAATTAGCCTGTTGATCTTACTCAAAGGGTTCCTGGCAAAAATAAATTTTGTTAAGGTGTTGTAATTGTTTGAATATATATATATATATATATATATATATATATATATATATATATATATATATATATATATATATATATATATATATATATATATATAAATATATATATATATATATATATATATATATATATATATATATATATATATATATATATATATATATATCTTACGGTGTATCTGGAAACATTTTTAATCCTTCCTTTCCAATCGTATTACAAAAATTGTCCTTGATGGACAGCACTCTTCTTCTTATTCTGTAACCTCAGGGGTTCCTCAAGGTTCAATCCTTGGCTCTATAATCTTTTTAATTTACATTAACGATCTACCAGATATTCTCACATCTAAGGTGGCATTGTTCATTGACGATACTACCATTTATTCTTGTCACGATAAGAAGCCAACTCCTTCTGATTGCTTGCAGGGGGCATTTGAGCTTGAAAAGGATCTGAATTCTGCTACAGCATGGGGCTCATGGTGCCTGGTGAACTTTAATTCAGATAAAACTCAATTTTTTTTAGCCAATTGTCATCGCAATAATTTAGACCTTCCTATATTTATAAATGGTAATGTACTCCATGAGTCATCTACCCTTCATCTTCTAGAATTAACTCTTACTTCTGATCTTTCTTGAAAACCTTATATAAAATCCGTTTCAAAATTTGCATCTGCTAAAGTTGCATCTCTTTATTGAGCTATACATTTTCTTACTCTGGATTCTATTCTCTATCTCTATAAATCTCAAATCCGGCCTTGTATGGAATACTGTTGCCATATCTGGGGCAGATCTTCTAATGATGCCCTTTGTCTTTTAGACAAGGTGCAAAAATGCATTGTAAACATAGTTGGACCTGCTCTTGCAGCAAACCTTCAACCTTTGTCACATCGCCGTAATGTTACTTCTCATTCTCTTTTCTACAAATACTATAATGGGCACTGCTCTAAAGAGCTAGTGTCTCTTGTGCCATATACTAAAATTCATTCTCGTGTTACTCGTTTTCAATTAAGTCTCATCCTTTTTCTGTTACTATTTCTAAGTGTTTTAAAAACTCATTTAAACAATTTTAAAATGTATTCTATAAAATAGAGTGCTCAATGTTCTTAAAAGAACAGAGCAATAATAAAGTAGTAGAAAATCACTTAGCAAAAATTTTTTCATTTACCACTGTATTTCATCAATAAAGACTCATCAGAAATCCGATGATTTCTGATGAGTCTTTATTGATGAAACAGTGTTAAATGAAAAAAAAAAATTATATATATATATATATATATATATATATATATATATATATATATATATATATAGTATTGCGTTCTAAGGTAAGCAATCTGATGTCATACTGAAATAGCCTGCTGCTGAGGGCTTCAGTACATACATCAACTGACAAATAGCCTGATTCGCAGTGGAGTGCTGCTACATCAACTGAAGGTTTGGGATGGGGCAGCAATCGTTTCATTCATCATTCTTCGTTTTTTTTCTTCTTTTTCTAAAAATGTCGTATGGGTTAAGGTAAGCAAAAAAAAGTGAGCAAATGCTTATAAAAATATGCTTTAGTAAGTGTGTGTGTGTGTGTATATATATATATATATATATATATATATATATATATATATATATATATATATATATATATATATATAAGGGTGGGTCATAAAATTTTTTTTTAGAGTTGCTAACCTGGCTATGGTCTAGAAAGTTGTTTTTTTTTTATGTACTAACTTAGGAAAGTATTTACTTTTATGGATTGAGCAATGTCTTACACCAGCAACTATAATTACAAAAAGTAGCAGGCCCTATTATTATTCAAAAAAAAAGTTTTTCAAAATTATGTGATTTAGGTACTCAAATAAAGCGATGTTTTATAAAAATTTCAAAAATAATAATTTTTTCATATAAAAATTATTATTTTAGAATTTATTGCATAATAACTATAGTTTTTTTAACTAAAAGTGAAAAAGGCGCCTTTTTACATGTTTTTTAATAGCAATTTTTTTCGGCAATATGATTTTTATAAAAGTATTAATATTTTCGAATTTTTTATAAAATTTTGCTTCTTTTGAGTACCAGGTTGACCTACTTTTGAAAAACTACTTTTTTTTCTCTAAAATATTAGGATACTGGTAATTTTCCCAATAAAGTTGCGCCCTTTAAATCTATCACAATCATTCTCATATTTGATAGTATCAATATTAATAACTATTAGCAATGTTTAGAGCCTGTAAAAAGAAAAAAAAATTTTATGAGCTACCCTAATATATATATATATATATATATATATATATATATATATATATATATATATATATATATATATATATATATATATATATATATATATATATATATATATATATATATATATATATATATATATATATGTATATATATATATATATATATATATTTATTTATATATTTATATGTTTATATATATATATATATATATATATATATATATATATATATATATATATATATATATATATTTTATAAATAAACAAATATATTTTTCATAAAAAGCTGTTAAGACGAGCAGTTCGCATGGCTTACCTTAGGAGAGCTTATCTCCGCTCACGCACTCATTTATTTAGTTGCTATTATATATATATATATATATATATATATATATATATATATATATATATATATATATATATATATATATATATATATATTTATATATATATATATATATATTTATATATATATATATATATATATATATATATATATATATATATATATATATATATATATGTATATATATATATATATATATATATATATATATATATATATATATATATATATATATATATATATATATATTAGTAAAAACAATTATTTTTTCAGAAATTTTCTTTTAGTGAAAAAGGCGCCTTTTTACATGTTTTTTAATAGTGAAAAAGGCGCCTTAGTGAATAGTGATAATGTAATAGTGAATAGTGATAATGTAGTAATAGTGAAAAAGACTTTTAAAAGTGAAAAAGGCGCCTTTTTACATGTTTTTTAATAGCAATTTTTTTCGGCAATATGATTTTTATAAAAGGATTAATATTTTCGAATTTTTTATAAAATTTTGCTTCTTTTGAGTACCAGGTTGACCTACTTTTGAAAAACTACTTTTTTTTCTCTAAAATATTAGGATACTGGTAATTTTCCCAATAAAGTTGCGCCCTTTAAATCTATCACAATCATTCTCATATTTGATAGTATCAATTTTAATAACTATTAGCAATGTTTAGAGCCTGTAAAAAGAAAAAAAAAATTTTATGAGCTACCCTAATATATATATATATATATATATATATATATATATATATATATATATATATATATATATATATATATATATATATATATATATATATATATATATATATATATATATATATATATATATATATGTATATATATATATATATATATATTTATTTATATATTTATATGTTTATATATATATATATATATATATATGTATATATATATATATATATATATATATATATATTTATTTATATATTTATATGTTTATATATATATATATATATATATATATATATATATATATATATATATATATATATATATTTTTTATAAATAAACAAATATATTTTTCATAAAAAGCTGTTAAGACGAGCAGTTCGCATGGCTTACCTTAGGAGAGCTTATCTCCGCTCACGCACTCATTTATTTAGTTGCTATTATATATATATATATATATATATATATATATATATATATATATATATATATATATATATATATATATATATATATATATATATTTATATATATATATATATATGTATATATATATATATATATATATGTATATATGTATATATATATATATATATATATATATATATATATATATGTATATATGTATATATATATATATATATATATATATATATATATATATATATATATATATATATATATATATATATATATATATATTAGTAAAAACAATTATTTTTTCAGAAATTTTCTTTTAGTGAAAAAGGCGCCTTTTTACAT